TCTTTGAGCCAATTAAAAAAGTGTCCTCAAAATTTGGTAGCGCCCTCTTCACAAAAGCGCACTCTTTGCAAACAGAGTTACCCTACTTGAGTTTTAAAAAATCAAAGTGAAACTAGCAAGTTTTGGGATAAATTTTGGAAGAACGCTTTTTTAAAATGGTTACGCTGACAAAAAACCTCTTCCGGAGGAAAGGGTGATGGTTTTCTTCGTTTAATTTGACTTTAGAATGAAAGGCGAGAGGTCATTAACATTTAAAAAAAACTAAAACTCCGCACTGAACGTACCCGAACTGCTGATGAACAGCAGTCGATCTGCACACGCAAGGAGGTGCTATTCCTATTCTTCTTCTGGAAAAACGAAAGAGAGCTTCAAAACAGACTGCAGCGCCATCTGAAGCAAAGAGCATACTTCCTGCGGACACTTTTTTGGCTGAGTGGCCCATCTTGTTATTTACTATCATTGCTGTAACAAAGAAATATAGTAAAATACTAGTCGCTGTTCCCCGGTAAAATGACGTCAGCAGTCGCTGTTCCCCTGCGCATCCCTGTTTGTGACTTTATATTTGAGACCCCCCCCCCCAAAAAAAAAAAACCCGACAAAGGACAAAAAACAGACCCGTAGGCCTAGGCCTAGTTTCACATTTTCGGTAATTCTCAACGTACAGGCGGCGTTCTTTGATGATCTGGATCTCACAAAAGTGGCAGAGAAGTGTGTATGGATACCCCCCAGACCATCTCTGCCCAGACTGAGTGACTGAGACAGAATTTTTTTAGATTTATACACCTACAACATGACAGACTTTGGAGGAAGACACATAGATCTACTTGTAGTTGTTGTAGTCCTAACCTTCGTCCACCCAACAGGATCAGAAAAAAACCAGAACAAAGATACAAAACAAACTCAGTTTGTTTTTTTAAACAAAAAAATAACAAACAAACCATGGGATAAAAGTACATGTGTAGGTCGCGAAAGTTCACGTGTGATTCCGTTCAACCCTTCGTTACGTTCTCTAGTAGTAGGCCTAGTAATTTCGTTGTTAACGTTACTCCAAAACAGGATGACCCCATTTATTATTGATATTATAATGGAAGTGGATATTTATACGGCAGGTCGTCGAAATATCGCTACCCTATTATAAAGTCTTGTTGGGTCAAAGAACTCGACGCAAGCCACTTAGTCCTCTTTTTACGTATATTTGATTTTGATAACAATAACATTGCTAGCTGTTGGGATCTAGATTCTAGACCACCATAATATGAGAATCATAAGGTGGTCTAGGTTGGGATGATGTGAGAATAATAATAAGAATTTTTTTATCAGAGCCGGTTCTTTTAGTGATTAATTTTAATGTGTGTGTGGAGGGGGGGGGGGGGTCATTGTTTATCCCCCACCCACCTCATATGATTATTGATTAAAGTGTGGGTGACTTCTTAACCAAACGTTTTGGGCTCAGTCGTAGATCTACATACAATTGTATTGTTGTTCTGAGTTCTGACACATCAACTAATCTACGGACTGGTATGGTGTGGGTTGATGAACACTTTTTTTTAATAGGCCTACTGTACGTTTTTGTCCTCCTCTGATAAAGCCAACAACTCAACTCGAGAGGGTTGAGAACCTTGAAAACTCTTGTTTTAACCTTATACATGTAAAGCAACACGAATTCAAGTGCTCTCCTTTCTGGTGATTTGAACCAGGTTCATTCGCATCATAGCCCAGCATGTCAATTGTCAGCTGTGATAGCAGCACCCACTTCGGATTACAGAAGATAGACTGCAAAATATTCAAGTTCAAGGGCTATAGCTACGTAGAGGCCGTCGAAAACGATTGAATGTTTTATTATTTTACTTGTTACGCCTTCGACGACACCGTAGAGTAGAGATCACCTACGGATGTCATATCAGGGCCATTCCAGGCAAGACTGAGGGGTACAGCATCCAAGCAGATTTTGATGACCCACGTTCGGGTTATCCAGGTTCCTCTGGGAACGAGAAAACCGTCGATGTCCAGCACCATAATATTTAATAGTATTAATAGTAATAGTGTACAGGGTCCTCATATCATTATCTCTAGGGCCTTTACAAGAAAATAGTGACGACATGTCTGGGCCCGAGAACAAAACTGTTCGTGGGGAAGTCAATAAGAAAAAAAGTGTGCTCGCCGTTGGGTAGGCTACCATACCCCATTTACTTACTGAGGAGAATAAAAATAAAAAAGAGAGGATGAAATGTGACATAGAATTACTCAAAAGCTGGAACTTTCATCTCCCAACCGGGAGGTCTTGGGTTCAAATCCTGACGGTAGAGTATGCCGTCCAAAAGTGAGTCGTTGCTTGCCCTCCGTTTGAAATTAGTTGGGGGGGGGGGGGGGGGGGGGGTTCCTGGCAGGCCCTTCAACGTCTCGGTTTATTTTCCTTTCAATAACAATTCTTCTATCTCACTAAACATGCTGCCTAATAAGTTAACCATTGTGTTGTGTAGCAAGACTGACTGGACATTAATTCGTGGAATCTTAAAATTTAAAACCAAATCTTGTTTCCAAGAAGAACAGCCGAAGTAAGCCCGCGTTTCACATTTTAAAGGAGAAACCGAAAGTAATAGTAATAGATCTAGCTAGGCTATTGCTTTTTCTTATTTTTCCCCATATCTGTATGTGTTGTATCGATTTAGCTTTTTCTGCCCAAGTTACTGGTCTTAAAAATACTGGGATAGAGATCTAGTGTTTTGAACATAGTGTCTAAACCTCGAAAACAACCGCAGTGGTGTTTATAGAAGATTTACGATAGTGTTTTTGGCGTGGGTAGTCAATCTGGCGTGTAAGTGTAAGCGGTAGTGTTTTTAGCTTACTTAGAGATTGTGGTCTTTGCGTACACCAAAGTCACTAGACTAGTGTTTACAGCATGTCTGAGCGTGTTACAAAGGGTCAAATTCAAAATTTCCTACAAAACTGAAAATGTTTGGTGTGTCCCGTGCGTTCATATACCGTTATGCATTTGCGAGAGCCGTAAAGCACTAACTCCCCCCCCCCAAAAAAAAAACAACAACAACCAACAACCCAAAAACAAAACAACAAAACAAACAACAACAACAAACAAACAAAAACCCAAACCAGAAAGAGGCTTTTCACCACTGTCTTTTTCAGTTACAGTGACACCCTTGTGGCGTGGTTGGTATTTATCATGCCAAATACATTGTACTTCTCTGGTGATTGTACTAAGCACTACTTCTTTTTTTGTTGTTGTGTTGCTCAACAAACTACTAAGTACTGCCCCAATTCAAAAGCTGAGACCAAAGATTGGTTCTTTAGCACATCACAATGCTTCCCCCACGTAGTGCAGCAAGGGCTGCAACTGTTCCTAATACAACAAATACAATGTACAAGAGCAAGGATCCAAATTTTGCCACAACTGGCAAAGAAGTCCTGCTCCCCCCTTACATTTTAGATAATTTAGGCCACGTAGACCGGCTTCCAACCCTGTCAGTCAAAGCCAAACCGGGCCGAGCACCGAGAGAGATGCAACAATCAAGTAGAAAGACCCAGATACTCGATAAAAATATTCCCTCACCCGGGTCTTCTGCATACGACAGCAAAGCTCCTTACCGTACCGCTCTACCATTGACACTGGTACTTACTATTATTACTAATTGTACTATAATTAATTCACTTCACAAATTTCCTCACTGCAACTTCAGCCTTTTTCCTATTATGAAAGGATAGCAGCTTGCTGGATGAAAGTTTGATGAGAAGCCTTCAGGACATGACGAGCTGTGAAACATGTAGAGGGAGAAGCTGACTGTCGCTGTGCCTTCCAGAAGAGGCTGTAATCTTGAATGCAACATCTATCTAGAGTAGGCCTATTTCAATTTCAAGGACTGAAAATTCCAGGTCCATAACTTTTTAAGTTCTTGGTATTGAGTTACTTGAGATATTTCACAACTTCCATTATTTAAAAAAAAAATCCATCTTCGCATCATCAACCTGTTACTATTACTAGTTTTACACCAGGTCATCCACTTCATCATCGTGATTAGTAGTTACCGGCTCGATGACCTCAATGCTTTTTTTCTGTGAGGACCCTCACTAATTTAGGGGCACGTCTGAGATCAAGACAGCTAATGTGAAAAAAATGTCTACATGGACCCTCAGCCCAGCTTCTGATCATTTTGAAATTTACATGGAAGTTCAGCTAGGTTTGAATTTATACGCACATGATATAGAGGCACAGAGAGATAACAAGGTTTGACTGTAGTTTAGTAGGTGTCGGGATGCGTTGACCCAACCTAATTAAGTGCAAAACAGCATTCCAGTTCCAGCAGAAATAAAGATTCCTAAATAAATACAGCTCCTTGATCAAAATTTATACCTAAAGTTTCAAGGCAGGAGATTTCTGCAATTGATGATCTTGACTGTTCCACAGAGTGTCAGGACGAGAAGCGAATTTTATTGACAAGTCCACTTCTTTTCAGTCCTTTTGGAGATGGACGTTAAACTCGGTCGCGTCTCCAGAATAACCTAATAGTGTTGATAGTGACGTTAAACCTATACCATTTCAAAGTAAACAAAATTACGTTCACCGTTTCCATCTCATTGTAACAGAGATCTGAGATCTCAAAAGTCTATCTGAACAAATCTAGCCATTGGAAGAAGTTGAACCTGCTCAAACAGCCACCTGTTCAAAGTATCTTTTAGAGATATTAAAATATCCTTCCACAGAGCTGAAAATAAAACACACCTTACAATGCTGAGTCCAGCATCCGAACCACAATTTTTAGAACAGCCAGTACAGAGAGTCTCCTATTCTAACCGCCATTAAAGGGCTCAAAATAAAAGGAGAGAATGACAGCAAAAGTAAAAGGAAAGAGCAGAAAAAGACGAAACAGGACAAAAGTATTAAGTAGAAGCAAACATAAGTCTTCAGAAACAAATCCAGCACAAACACAATTATCTAACAAAGAAAAGAGCATACTAAGACACAAACAGTGAAAACACAACAATGACAATTATATTTTACAGATTTATTTATTTTCCAGACATTGAAGGAAAAGTATCAATTTATGATCTAGCATTGGGCCCCTTCTTGCGTCCAAATCCAGAGACAACGTTGACAAATCTCCTGTTGTACTGCATGCGGCGCTTGGCACGACCAGTCTTGCTCTTCTTCTTCTCTTGTTTGTCAACCTTGGGGGTCTGTCCACGGACTTTGCCGGCACGAGCCAAACTGCCGTGGACTTTACCTGGAAACAAAATAAGTGGAAAAGTGTGAATAAACATTTAAAATAAAATCTAAAAATACCCCCCCATATTACGGCCGAGGCGAATGAACAGCATCACGCATAGACCGGATAGCAAACCCTGAATGTAAGCCCCAGTGATTCAACTATTTAAACTGTGACATTAGAGAAGAGGACCATTTGCAAAAAAGTAAAGTAGGCTTACAGAAGCTGATGTCAGGGCAAGGACAGCAATACACAAGATTGCGGTATAGTAGTTTTGCGTTTTGCCTCCATTCGGAAAAGACAAAACTTCCCTGTGGAAATTATATTTTACTGAGTATCTCCGTTTTTGTGAAGGGACATTCTTCGTTGTATATAAGTCCAGGATGACAGTGGCAGGTCGTAGCATTCCAACTACTTAATAATATAAATTGTGTCAGTTATACGGAGGAATAGTGTACTAATCATGAACTTGTAGGGCACCAAAACATCACATTTAATACTGATTTTTACAATATTTCCCCTGTAGTGTTGCATTAACTGTGCTAATGTATACAATTAGTTAATCAATTATACACTCTTCATAATCTGAGCTCATGATAGTATTCGGCATCAAAAGATATGATACAATGCCAACTTTCATTGCTGGAAATAAGTCTTGCTTACATATTTTATGTACAAATATATAAATTTGTACTATTCCAAACAGACCCACAACATCAATGTCAAAAATGTGTAGAGAAAAGGTCCCTCTAAAAATTAACAGAACTTATGGACTTTATTCACAAAATCATTCATTATTAGCAAACCCAGTCTCATAATCTTTCTTCAACATCAGCAAGTCTTTCAGGGACAATACTAACAACCCCCCTCCCCCAAATACATATATATGTGTCACAACGTGGCGGAATCAGGCGCTCGTCAATTTTGGGGCATATGGAGTTATTGGTATCATCTGAAAGCTGATCCATTTGCCTTGCTTCCAATGAAATAAATATCCATTTATCTTGAATAGAACTCAAGATATCTGTAATGGAATGAAGAAAGTGAGGTCGCCCGATTTCAGTGGTGAAATTATCGAGAAAATGGCCGCCAGAGTTTGGTAACTCCAATAGCTAAAGAGTTTTTGAACCCCCCCCCCCCCCCAAAAGGGGGACATATTTTGTGCCTTTAATCACTCAATGTTTTTCAGTAAAATTCACACGGAAATGTGTTTTTGAACAGACCTAAAAGAGGTTAAGCCAGAAAATACAAATTCGATAAAAAGGTCCAAACTGGTGGAAAAATGCCTGTTTCTCCGATTTCGTTATTTTGACGGCCGCCTGATTTCACCATGACGCCTCACAGATTTTCCAAAAGAAAAAAGTGCTAAATACATTTTTTAATGCTGGTCGGTAGTTATGGGATGATTTTAGAAAAAAAATAATAATTCAGTTTTACTAATGCAAAACATGCTATTCTGTGCTTCTGACTTACCATTCTTCCTACAATACAGCAAGGAAGTTATTTACAGAGCAAAAATGCACTATTAACTACCACCTGTAAACAAAAAGAAACACCAAACAAAGTTTCCAGACATTGCAACAGGAATCCAGAGCAAGTGAACGGAAGTCAGCATAGGAAAAGAATGTAGAATTATTTACCTCCAAGCATTCTCAATTCAACATGAAGGGTGGCTTCATTCTTGAAGGAGTAGAGTTCACAAGAATCCTCCAAGGGCTGGCCTTCATAGAAGACTGCCATCTCTTCAGTGGGAAGTCCTTCCCGATCTGTCACGAGGGCCTGAGTAATACAAAAATAACGTAAGTTAAGAATGAAAACAACCCTGTAGTCTTCTTGAATGGCAGCATGTTTTGGGATTGCTTACATTGCCTAGACGTCCAACACTTCATAAGGTAAGGCAACCCAGCCCGACTCAAACAAGATAAAGAAGCAACATAAGAGGAAAAACTTCTCTGATGAAAACAAACGCACAATTAAACAGGCCTTTCTGCAAATAGGCAGTAAGTGAACGGCAATTTATGCTACTATTCTGGCTAAACTGAAATGACAAATAAATAAAAAAAAAAAAAAAAAAACATGCACATGAGAAATATCAACCATGACCATTGACCGTGACAGTCATCCGTATGAATACAAACAACTGTTTTACACCCCATCAACAAAATCTAAAATTCAGGAGATGAGCCACAACAACCCTGCTGTCCACATGTGTGTGACATGGTAGAATCTTCCGCTTCTGTTCCAAGAAAGTAAAAAAAAAAAAAAATCGTTTCTGCTAATCTCATTGTTGGGCCATGGTACCTATCCACACATCACCTTAAAGAACTGGGATAAAAAGTGAAATAGATGGAATTGAAATATTTTACCATACTTCTACATGCTAATAAAAATTTACAAGGCCCTCAAACACTGACACCTTACAAGTACTCTCTCGTAGCCAGTAACAAATCCTTACAAGCAAAAGAAAGGAAGAAACAATGGCATGTAATCAGCAGTTATTTGTGGTAGCTCCCCACCTCTATGAAACAATATATAAGTGAGTGTGATTCTGAAATATTCAAATGTATGCCATGTTAATGTTTGTCCAGAACAATTGAATTTTTCCGTCAGTGCACACACATCAGAAAAATTTGACTACTGAAACAGCACATCTAAAACATGCAAAACACCAAAATGTACCTTGACATCCTCAATTGTCTTTTGCTGAGAGAGATCCAGCACATGGGTTTGCTGAGACTGTACGAACAACACCATCTTGATGTTCTGAAAATTGAAAGTATGAAAAGTAAGACACTGCTTATTCAATGACTTTGAAGGTCATTTCTAGGGCCAAGATATTTCTAAACCAATATCAATGGAAAGTTGAAGCAAAATAAACATAAAAAGGGCTATACAATAGCAACGCTACCTGCCCACTGCGCTTTGGGCGGAAAACGCGGCTCAGCGTGAGGTGAGTTTTTTGGGCCCTTCGGACTACAGAGGTAGCTCTCTTGTGAGCATAGCATAGTTACAAGGAAAGTTGTGACAAAAATGAGCGAGATTGGGCAACCATTTAGAGGAAAGTGGAAAGGCCGCTCTTACATGCGAGGGTTCAATACCGACAGATCACCCTTGGAATTGCAGTGTTTGTGCAACTTTCTTGTGTTGGTTAGAAACAGAGGAACTGCTGCATGGTCACCGACAAGGCAGGCACTCCATATGTCTTCATTGCCATAAATTTTTAAGTGCCGAACATTTAAGGTACCAACTTGAAATTACTATCTACCCATCCAGTGATAAAAGACTAGAGCCGGAAACTAGGTCACAAATTGAATAAGCTAGCCTGCCAGCATATGAAGAGCGCATGATCTCTAGGAGGCAAGGGATTGGCTGCCTAACATTAAACAGGTTGGAAAGGAGACTATTGCGGATGTTCCATACACAATTTTTGTTTTAAAGTTAAGTCATAGAGGAGGGGGGGTGCGCGCGCGCCACCGAAAGAAAACAGTTCAGATTCTATTAACTCTTAATCCAATAAGACCAACTTCTTAAGCCCAGTAGTCCCAACGGGATGCCTGGGTCACTCATTGGTCAGAGTGAATACAGCAAGCGGTCTTAGAAACACGTTTCACTGAGAATCGGGGATGTAAACAGGTTTTGAAAAAAAAAGCAAAAAGCTAGAAAACATATGCCGCGCATGCACTGACGGAAATAAAAATACAGTGAGACTAAATTATATAAGTTTCTTTCCCTCTATTACAACAAATAATCTCGGTTTAGTATATATTATAATAAGTATTGTTGCAATGCTAATGAAAATTTAATTTTTCGCTTTAGCCCCTTTTTATTTGGTACCTAAGAAAGAATTTTAAATTCTAAGAAACGGTTCATAAAAAAAAGTTTTGGGCTGTAAAGGTCGACAAAATATGGACGACCCACATAGAGGAAAATACTCCCAAACAGTGGACCACGTAGTAGCAGACTCTGTAAGATAATCGACGATGTCTCAGTAATTAATTGGAGTGTTAGGTTAGAAACTTGGCTACCAGATGTGTGTTTGGGTGGAGAAATCATTTCTGCCGTCAGATTTACTAACCATTTCGTAGTTATTTTGTTATAATTAAAAATTTGGTGTACATATTACGATTTTGCAAAAAAAGGGGTGTCGGGATGAGTCCATTTTATTTATAGCATCGCATCACAAAATGGGATCTTAAAGAAAGAATATATGTTGGCAGTGTGACTAAATAATGGCAAAGCTTTCTTTGATGACTTTAGACCATGCCAACCTTAACAGATAAGTTAATTCAATCTAGCATGCCGTACAATTAAAAATTCTTTCCCCCCGTTGAGTTGCGAACACCCTGAGGCGAGATAAGATCACCTCGGAATACCCCCATGATTGCGATGTTACAGGGGAACACAGAGAAAAACAATCGGATGCGCGCACCCGCCCCTGCCCTATTTCAAAAGACCAATGAACGGGCTCGGAATAGTCATGCGGAGATTTGTAGGTCACATGCATTTGTAGAGAGAGTGAGGGGAAAATGACCGGTCTCAGCGCGAAGCCACTTTGGATAGTGGGGCAGCCGTGCATTCATAATCGGGTCCAAACAACTACTTGACACAGAACTTTCAAATTTAAGCACATTATAGAGGAAAGAGAGATCTCAGATCTATTACTATCTCTGCGTTGAAATTCAAGCTCCTTATAGTTTTCGGTACACCCGATATGAAAGTGTTCCTGACACCAAAAGTATAGGTTAATTTATGTGTACGAACTTCAACGTCCACATATCATTAGTTTTTCTGATCGGCTGCAGTTTCATTCACAATAATCAGACCTGCATGTGAGCCTCAACCAGATTGTTTGAAAATTTTGCGCAACCCCCCCCCCCATAAGACAGCTTTTGTGGGTGTCATAAGGAAGGACTTCCGAGTAACAAGCGACCACCCCAACAAACACAATAAAGAAGAGACCTTACCCTAACCCTACCCCAAAAAACAACCTGCAACGGGCCTCATGTAAAAAGGCCAGCACAAGTCCAAAATTAAAAAAACCACACTCCAAAACAAACAAGGAGCATAATATGGCCTACATCTACATTGCTATAATAAGGTTTGATATATTAACACAACAGAATTGGAATATGAATCCTCCATTTAGATCTAGTAATCCCTAAATAAATCTCTAGATCTAGATCTTGTAGAACAAGTGAATAGGAATAGGCCTTGAACTAGAAATCCGCATCCGATTCCGAACAGAGGGACTCAGCTGAGTCTTGATTCTAAATAAATAATTCACGCACCTGATGAAATGCTTTTTACCAACATTAATATTACCGGTACAGCACAACCTACGATAGGGTTTGACACAATAGAATTGGAATATGAACCCTCCATTGAGGTCTATAATGATCTATAATCTAGATCTAGATTCTATTAGAACAAGTGAGTTGGACTTGAACTTGAATGAATCCACACGATCTGAACAATTGAATTAGTCAGCAAACGAAATTCAAAATGTCCGCTCGCACACGAAACTGAAAGTAGATAATTTAGGTCGTCGTCCTTTTTCGTATTCGCATTTCTACTCAGGTTCCGACAATTATGTCGGAAACGCCGACGTCGGCACGAAAACGAAAGTGTCGACAAAGCTGACGCGAGAAAAAGGGGGCGCTAGCAGTCGGCCAGGCCTCGCAATAGCATCGGCCGGCTCGCGGGTTGTGTCGCCATTGTCGGCAAACATGCAGGTCTAAATAATCCACAAATAGAGCAGGCAGAGGTTGACAAAGTTAGTCACCTACGTCACGGCCCGGTCCAAAAATTATATAGGCCAATTTCCTAATGTTTTTCTCTCAAATTGTTCTTTTTACCTGCACAATGGTATTCAAAACTATCAAATAAAACTTATTTTTATCAGGTAATATCATTTTACATAAAATCAAGCTCATTTGAAAGATGTACGGAAGAATGGAATTCTCGTTTCCTGGCTATCCTTTCGAGCTCTTCATAGGACAACAGGTCCAAGTGGGCCGGGACATCATAACTCGACCAGTCCCCAATGTTTTTCCAGGAATACTGGTAATGTGATATGACGCGGTGCTCCTGCTTCTTATCTCTTCTGTGCATTGTTTATCGCGCCCAGTCAGGGCCTCAAATATGTGAACAAGCTGAAACAGTACATGGTCATCCAACCACAGGGCTTCTAGTAGCAAGTTTCGGTTTACCTCTGGGGCAAGGCAGACAGGAGGCGGTCAGGTTGAACTTTGGTGGACTCACCGCTGAGGGGGGCCGGAACACTTTTGGGCGTCGTGAACAGCTGGTCCACTGTTCTTCCTTGGGCCGCGCGCTTGCCCTCTCAACTCTCTCTCCTCTCCCTTCGGGCTCATTTAGTCAACTGAAAGTTTCTACCGGATTTTTCAACCGCAAAGCCAGCGAGTACGCGCCAGTGACTAGACCCAAGCGCTGATTGGTCACTCTAGTCACGGCATGGCACCACCTCCACCATGTCTCCCCCTCTCTTCACTGGTCTAGTGAACTTCACCCGCCCCTCTATCATGGTATCTTGGGCCTAGCCTAGGCTGGCAATGTGGGTCTACTAAGTTCTTGGGCAGAGTCAACTATTTAAAAAGATCCTGGTCCACTTTTCTTTCATCATCAATGACTTTCACCCCTGGCAGGGTATAGGCCACATACAAGCTCCTTCCATTTATCTCTGTCCTGAGCCATCCTTCCAAGCTCGTTCCAAGTGAGCTTCATTTCTCTTATGTCCCTTTCCACGCATCTCCTCCATGTTTCCCGTGGCCTACCCCTGCCTCGTGCTCCTTGTTGTGGGTTCCACTGCAGTGACTGTTTTGTGATGTTTCCGCTGGGCTTTCTTAGTCTTAAGGCTTACTTAAGGCTAAGGTGTGTCCCATCCATCACCACTTTCTTAGTCCTATTTCTACTTCTATATCCTTTTGACATTTGTCCTGTCCTTTCCCACAGTTCTTCATTTCTTATTCTATCCTGCCACTTAATTCTTAAAATACTCCTCATACATCTGTTGATGAAAGTCTGGACTTTATTCAGTACTGTTTTTGCTGTCTTCCAAGTTTCGCAGCCGTAGAGGTTGGAGTTAAAGAGTCGAATCTTGGTGCGCAGCGAGATGTTGCTTGCAACGAACGAAACTACAAAACCGATATGCATCGTTCTACGTGTAGATATCTACGCTTTAGACTTTAGTTAGCCGCATGTCGCACCACACACACACACAACTCACATGTTAGTAATTAAAATCACACAAGTAACAACCCATGATGTCATGGACAATCATCAATGACAATGCTAAAGAAAGGAAAAGCACAAACTTTTGCAAAATCGTAAAATTCAGCAACTCACCGCTGAAAGCAGCACGGAGACGAAAGAAAGGGTATTGAATTTGACAAAGTTCACAAAAATGAGTGATTATCGATAATAGGCACTTTGTCTGATCACACCAACACTGAATTAGTTTTGGCAAAATCTTCGCCAACAAAACTCCAAAACAGACCTAAATCAAACTGTAGGATTATATTCTCTGAATTCTTGCAATCTAACACGCAATTGACTCTTTAAATAGGCATTATATCATTAATCCATGTACAACTTACCACGTTAGTTGCACCTTTATGGTGAAATTTTAGAAAAGGAAGTTTGCTATTTCTTCAGTCCGAGACTTCGCTCTTTACTTTGACCAGATTTTTTCCGGATTGAAGCAGCTGAATCCTCTGTAAATATTAGAATGTAGGCTAGGCCTAGAGAATAACTTTTTCCAATCAGAAATATTTTTATTTATTCTTCAAACAAAAATGAAGTTTTATAGATTCCTCTCAAACTCAAGCCTTATACTGCTCATTCAAGGAAGATGCAAAACAGACGTATTACTAATAAGACAATTTAGGCCAGCCCAGACCAAGGCCTTGGCCTATCAGCCATTTATTTAGGTTTACGTTATTGAAATGCCAAATAGCATTAGCTTTCTTCTTCTGGCATTTTAATGAAAAACCTGTTAAATAACTGTTTTTCACAACTTTTTCTTTTCTGCAAAACATTGAATCTTTAAGTATTCAAATGTTTTGAAAATGAGTTTGGATACTGAGCATAATAATCATTTTTTGTCAACACATAATCATTTTTTTTTCACGCAAGCAATAGGCCAAAATCTCAGCGAACACAAGCCTACTTAATGTTGCCTCGGAAAAAAAATGGCGGACAGTGGTGTTGATGAAACGATGGAGCACTCACATGATAATTTACTTCGAGGTAGATCTAGATCTTGATCTAGAGGTCTGGATGCAAAGTTCATGCGTTCCGACGTTGTTGTTTTTTTACGATAGATCTGACCATAGATTTTCAGTCGTCCTAAGAGGTCAAAAGCATGTGCTTCATGCATTTGTCGAGTCTGTTACTTGCTTTGCTAACCAGAGTCTATGACTGATTTGATTACAAAAAAGGGCAAAGATAAAAAAGTGGGAACGGAGTGATTATTCTCACCCAGGGTGAGGATAAACTGATGAAAAAAAATTGATACTATTCTCTCAGGGGGAAGGACTTCCGTAACGAGCGACCACCCCATCAAACATAATAAAGAAGAGGCCTAAAACCCTAACCCAAGGCTAGATCTAGTTATTCGCACTGGAGTGTCTACGTACACGGTTACCGGGAGAGAGAGATAGAGACTAGAGAGAGAGAAGGGGGGACGAGACCTGTTATCCGAATCATTGAAGATATCGAAGTCCAGAATATCTAGGCATCGGATGAGGATGTTTACCGCAGGAACAGGCGCAGGGTTCTCACTAATATTTAGTATTTCTTGGTCCCATCCGCTGTTTCTTTTTAGGGGGAGGCAGTGGAGGGAGACCAGAAGTGGAGGACTGACCAGCAGGTTCCTGATTTTCTTGATTAGATCTACATGTCGTAGACTTATTTTTGCTCCTTTTCTTTTGAGAGGGAGGCAGTGGAGGGAGACCAGAAGTGAAGGATGGACCAGCAGGTTCCTGGTTTTCTGAATTAGTCGTAGTACACTAATTTTTGGTGGACCGCACATTCAGCACTTAAGTTATAAATTAGGATACTTATAGATCTAGTATTCGACAGTCGGGGGGGGGGGGGGGGGGGAGGAAGGGCTGCCACATGCAAATCAATTTTAATAAACAGAGAAAAGTGGACCAGGAACATTTTATAGTTTGCTCTGCCCAAGAACTTTAGTGGACCCACATTGCCAGCCTAGGCTAGGCCTAAGAGGTACCATGAGACTAATGAGAGACGATAGGGGCGCGGGTGAAGTTTACCAGACCAGTGAAAAGAGGGGGAGACAAGGTGGAGGTATCTAGATTCGTTTCTAACGTGTACTGTAGGCTCTCTTCTCAGTTAAGTTCAGACTTTTCTTCTCTTCGCTTACTTGGGCCAAGACTTGACCGTAGCCTAGATTCTAGAAGAAATGGAGAATCGGGAAGGATTTTTTACCTGTCCTGTACCGTATTAGATCTAGATCTAATGTACATGTTGAATAACAAGCAAGCATAGAATGACCATTCCTTTCTTTTAAAAAAAATTCTTCCACTCACACTAGAATCCACTCTTAAATATATAGATCTACATTAGATAAAGAAAAATACATGTGTATAGTCTAGTATTTAGTAACCCATCATCATCATGCCCATGTACATCATTGTGGGAACAATAGATCTAGACATCTAATTGGCCTGTCTGTTCTCAGTGTCACTGAAAATAGTTTCTTAGCCTCATCCCAGTGACAGTGGGAACAATTCTGGCCTATTCCCTAAAACTAAAGGTGGGATACCTGGGTTTGACAAATGAGGTCCAAAATCAACTTTACGTAGTAACTCTGTAGTAATACATCATATTATTTATGGCCGAATGATTGCAGTTTTACTTTTAAGGACTGTTTCACAGGACACCCCCCCCCCCCCCCAAGTTGCCGTCAACCAAAATGTACACGTGTACATTTAGAGATAGAACCTGTACAGGGTGCATTTTATATTTGCACCTTTGATCTTTTAAAAAAAAAAATTGTTTATTAATTTAAAGAATACAATAATGGTGGCGCTGCCCCTGCTTGCACTGGAACCCGATCGACTGGTACACGTAAACAGCACTCAAGGGGTCTGTTTGGTCAATTTTGGTGGATCGTGTCACCACAAATTTTGTGTTATTATAGTACTTTCATACTCTTTCAGAGCCTCTGTGAACTCTGAAAAGCTCTTGAACTTGGCTCCCACTTCCATGCTGAATAGATCTAGAAAAACTAGAACTAGGTGTTGAATAATTTCAGATTTGCGATGCAATAGCCTTGGGGCCAACAGAACGCTAGTGGCAAGGTTCCCTCAGGGCTCTGTATTGAAAAATGAAAAGTTTATTATATAGGCCAAGACCGCCTAGTTTCGTGGACTCTCGCGCCATTTGCCGATCTCGCGCAGCGCGCAGGTCGGGTCGACCCTGTGCGAATATAAATATTTCTTTGCGAATATAAATATTTAATTTCTTTAAATTCGCACACCCAGTGCGAATAGTATTAATTCTTATGCGCACTCCCGGTGCGAATAATATTAATTCTTATGCGCACACTCGGTGCGAATAACCGCTTCCCTTACCCAAACCCTAACCCAACCTAGCAATGCCAATCGCCTGCTGCGCCTTGGCCTTGGGCCGGAAATCGGCCTCCGCGCGAGGGGTAATTTTTGGGCCGCTCGGAATAAAAAATGACTCTCTTCTAAGTATAGTTACGGGAAAACTCCTGGATGAAAATTAATGTAACTCGGCAACCAATCAGAGGAAAGGTACTAACGACATGCCAGCGTACAGTCCTGAACGATTTCTAGGACCGGAGATATTGCCGTGTTTGTGCGAATTTCCTCTGCGGTTCGAAAACTAAGCGGAACTGCGGGTTGATTGCCAACCACACAGACGCCCCACATGTCTTCTTTATTGCTGTAAAATTTCAGATCTCTGCGTTTAGTACATTTTACGTACCAACTTAAAATTACCACCCATCCTTTGATAAAACACTAGAGCTCGAAAGTAGATCATGCATTCCAAACGCGAGGTGCCGGCATGCAAATGCAAGAGGCGCTTGATCGCCAGGCGGCTTGTGATTGGCTGCCTATAACTAAATATGTCACCGATGACTTCATTGTGGGTTTTCCCGATAGCGCTTTACTGAGTTTTAGAAGGGGTGATCGCGTCGCGGTTAAAACGATGTCACGCAATTAACAAATTTCACGCAAATATCAGTCTGTAAGATCCAAAGTAATAAAGACATCGAAAAAGTGATAGCAGAACTAGATTTTGCACAAAAAATCACATGAAGATGCCAAGTTTCATTCATATGCTCCTATTCATCACTGACTTTTATGAACAGTTTTTCCTCAAAATACATCAAGACATGTCCCACATTTTGGCGATATTTTCCTATATGAAGGTCCTCCACAATTTTGCAAACAAAAATCCCAATAACTTTTTTATCAATGGATTTTTAAAATTTAAAAACCATAGTTCTTACTACTAGAATTTACTCTATTTTCATTTTTAAAGCCAATTTGGATGAAAATTTAATTTTTCATTGTCATTGCTACCTAACCCTAACCCTACCCCAAGATCTACCCCTACCCCTAGCCCTCAATTCTGCTGTCTCATAGTGGTCGCTGGTTACGGAAGTCCTACCTCACGGGGTGAGAATAACGACAGCCTACTAATTCTAGGGCAGGGAGGTTACAGTAAGCTCCTTGGCCTAGGGTCAAGGCACTGCGTGCCTTAAGAATTATCGCGGGTCCTGTGTAAAGGGATAACGAGGCTACTTTTTTGTGGTTTCGTTAAACAAATGCCAATTCTAACATTACATTACAATGACAAACTATTATTAACATTATTTCTTTAAACAGCTTTCAGTTAAGGCTACTATTTTTAAAAACATACTACTCTAGCATATGGATTCCTTTCTGAATTTAGAATATATAGTCTACACTTGTCTAGGGTTTTGGCGAAGATATGTATACTCTCAAGATTAAAAAAAAATGAAACCATAACATTCCTCGCGGGAACCTAGAAAAATCGGCTGGCACTCTAGGGCAGGTCGCGAACGGTCACTCTTACAGTTCACAAACTGTTTTCTATTTGCCTACATGTAGGCCTACCCGTTCTCAAATAACAATATAATATTATTTTCACCCCGAGTGAGAATGATATATTTTTATTTTCACCCCGGGTGAGAATAACGACAGCCTAAAGGGAAGGGCCTAGATCTAGATCTAGATCTATTTGCAACGCCGTGTTGCGATTTGCGCCAGTGCTAAATAAAACGCTGTGTGTTATTTTTATTTGAAGCTTAGACTTAATCTTCCTTTCGTTGTTGGAAGTTCTGATGGCCGAAAGGACAGCGCTTCTCTGCGTTTGAAGCCAGACCATTATTTTGTGGGCGTGGGTTCGAATCCCGGTCCTGGAAGGTTTTTAAATATTTTTTTGGTCCTCTTCTCGACTGACCAACAAATTTTGGTATTTTTTTTACTTTCCCTCCCGTCTCACTCTTAGCTACCAGTTGTCCATTGATGCACTGAACACGAATATCAAGTTCATTTATGTCGCAAATTAATAGTTTTTGAAATATCTAATTGGGAAGTGGCAATCCTCATCCGGGGTGAGAATATCTGATTGGGAAGTGGCAATCCTCACCCGGGGTGAGAATAAAAATACGATCGACATCTCACCCCGGGTGAGACTTGCCAGCGTTGGCTATTCTCACCCGGTGTGAAACAAGACCTGTTTTTCCTTATTTCGGAATAGTGCCTATCGCTGTGGATATCAAATTGACAAAATCAAAGAAAAAAATGACGTTATAGCACAAAAGTAAGCTAATTTGATCGTCTACAAAGATGCTACGGCTATTTAACTTTTCGATTCGAGCCGAACTATGCGGGTCGCCATTTTGTTTTGCCTGGAAGTTCTCGCGCTACTCCTCTCTCTCTCTTTCTCTCTCTCTCTTTCTCTCTCTCTCTCTCTCTCCCTCCCTCCCTGTCTGTCTGTCTGTCTGTCTGTCTGTCTGTCTGTCTGTCTGTCTGTCTGTCTGTCTGTCTGTCTGTCTGTCTCTCTCCCTCTCTCTCTCTCTCTCTCTCTCTCTCTCTCTCTCTCTCTCTCTCTCTCTCTCTCTCTCTCTCTCTCTCTCTCTCTCTCTCTCTCTCTCTCTCTCTCTCCCCACAAACAAAATTGAATGGTTTTAACACAAGAGCACTGGAACATTGTTCACAGCACAGAGTTCTACACTTCTGTTAGATCTATCACAGTGTAGAATTCTGTGTTTCACGGTGAACGCTAGGCCTAAACTGGTTGGCCTAGGCCTAGGCTATCACCGTGAACACCCACCGGGTGAGAATAGCCAAAAGGCTCGCCTGCGCTATTCTCAGGGTGAGAATAGAGGTGGCTATCTGATTGTTCTTAATCGAGATAGACGTGCTTTGGACCAATCAGGGGGTTCCAGCGGGGGCCAGCCCCACTGGGGTAAAAGAAAATCAGGGGGGCATTTTACAGTTAGATTTGAAATTTTCTTGAAAATAATTGATTTGCGACAGTTTTAGTGGCTTTATGTGTTATTAAAAAATTTTTTTTTTGGTAAGTGTTTTACGGCGCTCGCAACTGCATAAGGTCGTATGAGTGCGTGGGACACACCTAATACGTTTAGTTAGTTGGAAATTTTGAATTTTTCCCAGGTGGCGGCCGAAGCCTACTCTTATCGATTTTAGACCACCAAGGGATCTTTAACGTGCGCAATTTGCACGCGGGCCCTCCGAGTTTTTTCGCCCTTGTCCGAGAAGGCTAGGTGTAGATCTTTCCAACCAGAAGATCAGGGGTGTGGCAGAAAGACAGCTGTAAGAGTCAAAGAGTAGCAGTAGAAAGGCTGCAGAAAGAGTCAGGAGCCCAGAGTAGGGGGCAAAGGAGGTGAGGGGGTGGGGGCAGAAGGAGGAGACGAAAGCAGACGACAGAATATTGCTAGAGAGCAGGGAAGGAGGTGAAGGGAGACAATTTTAGAGAAGAAAATTTTTCGGTCGCTACCCGGATTCGAACCCGGGACCTTTGAATGAGAGGCCAACACCTTAACCTCTAGGCCACGAGAGCCCCTATGTGTGATCTGCAGCAAACAGTACTGCAGTTTGACCCCTGAAGCAGTGTATCCGTGTGCGGGAGTGAAAGTAAAAATTTACCCCAAATTTTCCCATAATATGTAGTGATGAAGCATGCACATTCTGGTTTTGTCCCCAAGAGGAGCTCTGTACAAAGTAGGCCTTAATTAAAAGTATAGCCTATATTTTTCCTTTTACCAATTTAGATCTAGGTTAGGCCTGGTTTAAGTATAGAGATGTAGAATCTAGTGGCTTTCCTTGGTCTGTGAGTAATTATTTTTATTTTTATTTTAGGGTCAGGGAAAGGAAAAAAAACCAACCTTCGGGACCGGGATTCAATGCCATTCTTGGAAGCACTGAATATAAGACTTAGAGAACGTAGACAGCTTGTATACACACGTTCTCTTGGCCTATCTTAAAGATAATATTTTTAGGTAGATCTATTGTATGACGACACTGCGGACAGGAAATACTGCTTATATACCGAGTTGCACCGTCTTGTTATTGTTATCCAAGCGTCTTTCGACTTACTTGCTCAAACTTAAATGATTATGAGAGATATGAACAAGACTACTTCTAGTCTACTTTTGTGCAAACAATGTCAAAAACAATTGTTAGATCTAGATCTACCCAATATTGATCGGAATAAGACGTCATAAAAAAAGGAGTCAAATCCTAGGAGGTTTATCAAGAAACTGAGAAAGCTTCCACAATTCAAGCAGAACTACAATATTATTTTGTCCTCTCAGAATTATACAAATTTAGATGGCCAATTATGCAAGAAAAATAAAAAATTTAATGCCAAAATTATGCAAGTTACCATAACGCCATTCACGACATGTTTTGCACCTTTTCGACAAGAATTTTCATGTTTTACGTACAGAAGAGTTGAAAACAGAACATATCAGTATATAATAATCAGAAACTGATCAAAACATAAATGATAGACTATGAAGTTTTCTTGATGTGCAAGGAGTTTTCTACTGTTCTCATTCATAACTCTTCTGTCTCTTTATATTTGAAGAAGACTCGGAGGACAAGGTGGAGGACAAACCCGAGAGTGCTGAAAAAGATGGTGTTACTGTAAACGGAGGAGCTGAGGCCAGTCAGGGCAGCACAGAGGAAGACTCTTCAGAGCAGGAGAAACAAGACAACACTCAGGAGGATGAAGCCAAGAAAGAGAAAGAAGCTGAACTTGGGAAGTACTGGAAGACAGTGGAAGACAACCCAATGGATTTCACTGGGTGGACATATTTGCTACAGTATGTTGAACAAGAGGTAAAAACAAAATGGTGTTGATTTTTGACAGTTCTCAAAGATGCGCTTTGTTTTTGGCAGCACTCGATTACATTTTAGAATGTTCCACGCTGGAAAGTGACTGTTGTGTGAAAGATAGCAACGCCAATCAAGCTCGTGAACGCTGTGAAATTTTGGTCCCCCGTTTGTGGGTGTATTTTTGGACCGAATTGGAAAGTAGGTGACGAACTTTCTCAAACTCGGTAGGCTTTTTTTTCTGGACCACTATAAATGAAACTTGACAACCAATCAGAAATTTTAATTATAAATAACAAAACAACCACAAATGTTTAGTAAATCTGACAGCAGAAATGATTTCTCCATCCAAAAACATGTATAGAGTAGCCAAGTTGCTTTCAAATACTCCAATTAATTACAAAGATGTCGAGATTTTCTTACCGAATCTGTTGTAACATGGTCCACTTTCAGGGGTATTTTCCTATGTGGGTCATCTATGTTTTGCCACCCCCCGGGGCGGTGCCACTGACTGAAGTGTCTTTAGACCATTCCCAAAGGGGGGACATTTCTCGTTCTAATGCACAGTAGAATTGTGAATAGGCTGATTCATCAATGTCATGCTCATAACTGTTCCTCAACTACAACGGTGAACTGCTTTTTCTTTCCTAATCCTTACTTTCGTCTTTCTATTTCTTTTGTTTGTTTGTCACTCTCTTGTGACCTGCTATTTCCGAGGTGCCTCGATAGTCGAAGCAGACTTTGTGCTGTTGAAGATAAAGAGGTGAGCAGAGTAAGTCTGATTCCCTGTAAGGACTTCTCTGTTGACATTCACCCCTTGACGCTCATATGACCTTATGCAGTTGCGCGCGCCTTAAAACCTCTACTAAAACAAACAAACATGTTTTGCCACAATTTACAACCTTATAAATTTTATATTTATGACCCGATTCTGTAGAGTAAAAAGCATGATATGCTTAGAATAGGAAACCCTTTCTTAGGAACCAAATGAAAAAGAGCTATAATGCGAAAAAAACAATTTTTCATTAGCATTGCTAATAAAGGTCCCATTCGAAAGACAGAATGACAGTCACGACAGTGATGTATCAGTTACACTACCTTTTGCAATCTTAATTTAATACTTCAACTTCAGTGTAGATTTAATATTTCAGAGGGGACACTTTCAAGTAGACTGTGACATTGAATAAAAATGTGTGCACTTTTGCACTTTCTAAAATGTTTCATTACTGTATACCTGATAGGTTTTATTTTTTGCCTTTTGCAGAGCAACCCAGACAATTGCAGAAAGGCTTATGAGGCCTTCTTTTCTCATTACCCTTACTGCTATGGGTACTGGAAAAAGTACAGTGACATGGAGAAAAGAAATGGCAACAAAGAAAGGGCTGCTGAGGTATGGTTTGCAGCTTTGACAGGGTAAAATATTTGCATGCTGTGATGTATTTGAAACGATAATTACTAGAACATGCAAATATTTATACCTTTGTCTGTTTTTTAATAGTTTGGTTTTTTTACTATCGTTTTTGTTGCCTTTGTTTTTATTATCCTTTTTTCCTGTTCATACAATGTATTTGATTAATTCGTTGTTGATAACTTTCCAGTTTCAAAGTTTACTTTTTTCCTGTTCATACAATGTATTTGATTAATTCGTTGTTGATAACTTTCCAGTTTCAAAGTTTACTTTTTTCCTGTTCATACAATGTATTTGATTAATTCGTTGTTGATAACTTTCCAGTTTCAAAGTTTACTTTTTTCCTGTTCATACAATGTATTTGATTAATTCGTTGTTGATAACTTTCCAGTTTCAAAGTTTACTTTTTTCCTGTTCATACAATGTATTTGATTAATTCGTTGTTGATAACTTTCCAGTTTCAAAGTTTACTTTTTTCCTGTTCATACAATGTATTTGATTAATTCGTTGTTGATAACTTTCCAGTTTCAAAGTTTACTTTTTTCCTGTTCATACAATGTATTTGATTAATTCGTTGTTGATAACTTTCCAGTTTCAAAGTTTACTTTTTTCCTGTTCATACAATGTATTTGATTAATTCGTTGTTGATAACTTTCCAGTTTCAAAGTTTACTTTCTTACTGTTAGATTTGTGTGATCAAATCTGTTGTTTCAGGCATAGTTTTGTAATTGTTGAATTTTTATGTTTTTTGTATTTTGTGGTGGTTATAAGCCGAAATAAGCCAACCTGTCAGGTATGCTTATTTGGGATGCATCTAGATCTAGCTTTAATAATTATTTATAATAAAAACTTTCCCCCTAAAAGTAAAATCTTATTTAGGCTACCCAAGCCATCCTCATAACCAAACTTCTCTTTTCGCAACTCCCGTCCCCCCTCCCCCCCCACCCCCCCCTCCCCTCCCAAAAGCTTGAGGGTTGCAACTCTGTAATGTAGATCTTGCTGTCTTGCTTGGATCACTGTCAATGAGAATAATCTAGGCCTGTGATACCGGAAATGCTGAAGTGAGTCGAACAAAAGTCTCAACAGATCACAAAGAATCTAGATCCTATGAATTACTTAGATCTGGAATCATGAAGGCTGTTTTCCTTAGTTTAACAGTACTTCATAATGGGGTTTTTTTGGTCTTTTGTCCAGAGCATCTATTACAGTTTATAATTTTTGCACTGTTATAATGTTGTTGAAAACAGAGACAAAAAGTTAACCGAATGAGAAAGATCCCAAACTGGGAAAGGGAAACTTGCTCTTCTATAAATTACCATTGTAAGAAAAGGGAAGCCTAAAGGTTTTACTTAAGTATTTTGGTTATTTAGGCCTTATGTAGCCCAAATAAGCTCACATCCATTCTGAAATTAATGCACATGCAATGTTGATGACTATATTTTGACTCAAAGGCTAAATAACTTTTGACGTGAAGTGCTTAACCATAAACTGTTTTCATCTACAGTTCAAGTTGTTTGGAATGTGAGGGGTTGCCCAAGTCCTTGTCAGGGCTAATTTCACATCACAGACATCTTGGCCTTGTAAGACCATCACGTTCAAGGCTGTTTCTTGCTTCTGTTGATGGTAATACTCAATACTTTGCCGTGTTTCGAATCTCGGGTATTTTCGTGGATCTTTCGACTGCCTCGATGTAATAGGGTATTGTATTTTGTGTTATCTCTGCTCATTTTGTATCATTTCCTTACTCTGTATACTTTTCTACCCAATGCAGGTGTTTGAAAAGGGCTTGAGTGCAATACCTCTCAGTGTGGAGCTGTGGTTACATTACCTCAATTACTACATTGCTGAGTACAACTCTGATCCAGACTCCAAGGATAAAATCAGGAAGTATGTCACAGTTCTTTTCACTACTAACCATAGTAATGTTTCTTTCCTGCTTAAGTTTATGAATATACACTTTCTTCATGTACTTCTCTTTTAAAAATGATGTATCAGTTTGAACTTTATCTTTCTGGTCTGCTATTCTCCAAAAAAAAAAAATAGTTTCAAAGTAATAATAAAAATCTGTAGTATAAGGAAATATGGTTGTGATTATGTGTGTAGGTTTCCTTGCATGTGTACGATTATTTCAGAATTTGTTTAGATTTAGAGACATTGCTTGTTGTTTGAAGGCATCTATGACACATCAACACTTTTGTTAGATCAGTCTTCTGTCTCTGTTTGTGGTCTTTCTCTGTCCCTCTTACTGAAACACAATTACGGTGTTTACTTGCCTCTCTGTACGTGCAGATGCTTGGTAGTCACTGCTAAGTAGCCTGCTCCTTCTGCTTTTTTCCAGTCCTTCTATTGTCCTAATCTCTTTTAGGTGAAATTAAGCTTTGGCTGCTGTCTTGTTGATTCAAGTAAGTGGGTGGTTGGAAGGCTCTTTTCTATCAAACGTCTATCGTCCTTATCTCTATTCCTTCTTTTATTTGTTTGTTACTCACTAGTTTCAGTTCTAATCGTCAGTACTTATGTGACTTATTTGTGTTGGAAGCCCTGTAAAACTCTTATTACTAATACTTTGTAAAAAAAAAAAAAAGATTCATAAACCAACACACCTCATAATAATGATGATGGACAGGCTTTGTATTTTTGTATGATTCACTTGTTTCTTAGGCTGTATGAGAGAGCTTTGGCTGCTGCGGGGCTAGAATTCCGCTCTGACAAGCTGTGGGACTCGTACATTTCTTGGGAAAACCAGAACGCCAACCTGAAAGCTGTCACTGCCATCTATGACAGACTGATCAGCACCCCAACCCAGCTGTACAGCCATCACTGGGAGAAGTATGTGTGTGAAATAGAATAGATATATATATATATTATGTGTATCTTTTTGTATAAGTTCTTACTTTTTAATACCTCTTTTGTTTAAACTAATCAGTTCTGATTGATGTTTCTTGAGTCCTTGAAAATATGATTCTTGTATTATTTGTTGCATCAGAGTAATGGCGCTGGTTTGTTCAATTACTTTGGAATTAATGGTCTATATTGTTCAATAATATGATAAGGTTTGTACATCTTCAAGATTTTTGTCTGTGTTACTGTTACATTTTAATCTGCTTTTGCGCTGACTCAAAGTAAACAACACTTCTGCTTAATTAGACTGACACAATGTGGTTGAGTATGTCCACAGCAGAATTGGAAGGCAGACAAAAATATATTCTGCCATAGCTGTTGGTGTTTTACAGATCCAAGTTTTTGCATCCAATTTAATATGCACTCACCTTATTTATTTATTTTTTTAAAACCTTGTTTTGAAGGGTACATTGATAGCTGGTTTTAAAAATTGCCCCAAATTGCCATATTTAGAGACTGTGCTTACAAAAATACGTATTTGTAATTAGTGAGTTCTTGAGGCTAAATTTTGTCAGTTATTTATTTTGATCCAGAATATAGTTCTTTCCTCAGAACCTGCTTGGGAACAAAATTTCCATCTTTTGATCAGTAGAAGCTAGGTTTCAAAATGAGTTTCCAATGCGTAAAGTTTGGCATATATAGGCTCAGTGTTTATATCTGTTTTTGTGGGCAAAGATATTCCTCTTTGACAGCTGCTGCTGTACGAAGAATAGAAAACTGTGAAACTGGTGTTTTGGTTTATTTTATTTTTTTTGTTCTCAATATATTCTTGAATGCTACAATTTTGTTATATTTACAGCTACTGCCGCCATATAAACATCCACCATCCTAAGGACATCCTGGACATTGATTATTTCCTGAAAATCCGCTCGGAAGTCTTGAACAAGAGCTGGGGCTATGGAGCACATGACGAAGACGATGTTGGGTTGGATGAAGCACTTCAGCTTGGAGAGTCAAATGATACGGAAGCACCGCCGGGCATGATGCCGTCAATTGTGAGAATTTCATCACATTTGTGGAATTTATCATATAAGGCTTTTTTATGACATTGTCATGGCATGTACGGTTTTACTGCAGTCAGTTTGGCAAACAGAGGTCTAATCTGGAGCTCCTCTGGAACATGTGACAGGACACGTTGGAATCAGGCGCTCGTCAATTTTTCGGCATATGGAGCTTTTTAAAATATTTCTCTAGCTTTTGGTGAAAAAAAATACCCTTCTATCTTGAATGTAAGTTGAGATATTTGTGATTGAAGGAGATGTGGGTCACCTGGTATCAGAGGTAAAATAAGTGAGAAAATTGCTGCCAAAGTTAGGTGACATCCAAAGCTTGACTGTCTTTGGAAATTGCAAATTTATACTTATGAAAATCTTTGTTTAATGTTTTTAAGTAAAATCCACATAGAAATGTGTTTTTAAATGAACATGAAAGGTGTTTTTCCAAAAGAAAAAGACTGATAAAAATTGCGTAATATGCAGAAAAATGCCAGTTTCTTTGATTTATTATTTTCACGAGTGCCTGATTTCACCATGATGCTGCACATATTGCGACCTCAGTGCTCTCCTGTCGTATCTCCGTTTTTTAACAGAGAAAATGTGACATCTTCTTACGCTCACTCTTTGTTATGAACTGTTTTCACTGTTATTAAAAATGGAGATAAGACAAGAAAGCACTTGGGTCGCGATATGCTGATCATTATATAAAACAAATTCCCTAAGACATTGTCAGTTTTTGCTCAATTTAAGTAAGCTTTATCTAAGTCGCTTTGAAGACTCGGTACTCTTCTGTAAAAAAGGTCAATGAAAATTTCAAAGACCTCTCTGTGACTTTTGATTTAGAGCGATTGTGGATAAGTGTATGTTTCAGGTTATAAGGATTTGAAGCATAGAGTATGGGTGGAGGAGTGGATAAGGGAACACTTCATATACTCAGCTTGGAAATTCATGTTTTTAGCTCAGGACAGAGATGCAACATCGTAGTTACGTTTTTCTCTTCTCTGGAATTTTCATAACAAGTTGGAGAGTATTAATACAAATACAATTTAGTTGAAAAGTCTGATTACTTTCACTGCCTCTCAGATAACCTGACATTGTTGCAATGGGCATCAAACCTATACAAATTTGCATATCGCATATATTTTTGTTACTGGCCTTGCCTTGCCTTGCTTGAGTTATGTCTTATTAGTTTTCCTATGATGTTATGTTTCAGGGTGATGAAAAGGAGGTGAAAAAGATCCGTGCCAAACTTATAGAGACCAAAGAAGTAATATTTAAAGGAAATGAAGCAGAAGTCGGCAAAAGGTGGACTTTTGAGGAAACGGTGAGTCTGTAATTGGTAGTTCCTTTCTAGTTTTTGAACAATGCACTATCTTAATGTAAATGCGTAGAGCTATTTTTGTCCTCCCCATTTCTATTTTTTTTTAAAGCACTGGATTACTTATTTTTGATGTCTTTTTTAAAGAGATGAGCCGCCAATTTTCTCTCTCTAAAAGAATTATACACTATCTTTTGTAATGGTTCGTAAAATATTTCTGTATCTCTGAAATTGCAAACAGTCTACATAACCAACTAAACCTTGTTTCAGGGGAAACAAAAAACATCTTAACCTTTAGATATTTCTGTGTGTAGTCTTGCATTAAGTGCCACCCTTAGAATGTTAGTAGTTTTGATGGAAAACTGAAACGTTAGGACTTAAGTTGTCAAGCTTTTCACTTTTGATATTATTGTTGTTGCTGCAGTTTTCTTCTTGATAAATGAGATTTTTCTTGATTCAGCTTTGAAATGAGGGCAAAGATATTTCATGATCTAATTATACATTTCATGAGATGGAAAGCGTACGAAAATGCCCTTTTTGTTACATTAATACATTTGAGATGCACATAGTATTTGGCTACGGTTAACAGTTTCCAGTGTGTTTGCTTTGCAGATTCGCCGTCCATACTTCCATGTGAAACCTCTTGAAAGAGGTCAGCTGAAGAACTGGAGAGAGTACCTGGACTTTGAAATTGCTCAAAATGTCCACAACAGAATTGTTGTCTTGTTTGAGCGCAGTTTGATTGCTTGTGCACTCTATGAGGACTTCTGGATGAAGGCAAGTTGAACATAAGAATTTTTCTTCCTCCTCTGCTGTATATAGGTACTTTTCTTCACACAAAACTGATTCTTCACTTTGTTCTTACTAACAAATAGAACTGTTTTAAAATTATGATTTTTCCTGTAGAATTAATCTTTATCATGACTTTTGTTAATCTGGAATGTAAAATCTAGTTAGAAGACAGAGGTGCTGATTTTCCCTATAAATCCAGAAATCCAGGTTTCTGAAATTGTCAGTATTCTGGCACGTTATATAAAAATAGTCATGATACAAGATGTTATGATAGGTAAATTTTACATTCTAGCACATTTGGGTTTCCACTGAGTCGGAAAAGTTCAGGATTTTTCTTTCTAAGTCTATCAGCACCTTAGAGAAAATAACAAAGAGGTAATCCCTTCTGTGACATAATCAGAATTTTGAAGCTCTGGAACATTTTATGTGGTTTCTTAGGAGACTGCTAAGAGTATCATGGAAGGAAAAGAAATCAAATGAGGTAGTGCTTTATGAAGCCCTCGTGGGACGGTTACTGTTAAAAACAATTAGGAAACGACAAATGCAGTTTTTGGGACACTTGAATAGACATATGGGTCTTGAACATCTAGCTTTCACTGGCAAAATTTAAGGCAAATGAGGCAGGGGTCGGCCCAGAGCAACCTATTTAGGGAACCTAAACAAATGGGTAGCAGGGAAAGATCAGGGAAGCGTAGCTTTTTTTAAGAGCATCCGAGCTAAGGAATGAATTGAGAACGGTGATCGCCAATGTCTGTCACAGATCTGGCACTGGATAATGATGATATCAGTTTACTATTAGTTACAATAAGTTGGAAACATTTTTCAGAACACTCTGACTTCTTGCTCAAAAGAATATGCTTCTGTTATTGGTATTTCCTCTTTTGATTCATTAAACTATTCTTTACTCTATCAGTATGCAAAATATCTGGAGCAGCACAGCATTGATGGTGTTCGAAGTGTGTACCAAAGAGCCTGTGACATACATCTTCCGAAAAAGCCATACATTCATCTGGCTTGGGCTGCGTTTGAGGAGAGAAAAGGTAGACAGGTTGTCTTGATCTAGTGCTTTTACTTTTTTTTTTTTCTTTTGACACTTATCCATTGATGGGTGTATGGTTGGTGGATTCTCTGCTGTTGTTTGCTTGTCTGTATCGTGCCTGGTCATGACAAAACTTGGCCATTATAATTTTCACAAAATCTGGTTGGCATCCCTGAAACTATCTCAACAACTGATATGTGTGCTATACTTTTAATTTATTTTCTAGATTTCTTTTCCACAGATTTACATATAAGTCTAGATCATAAGAGAGATTTGGCTTCATCTGTTACATATCTGGACTTACCAGAAGAAAATGAATAGAGCAGGAGCTTGTTGATAAATTTTATTTTTGGAGAAAAGAGTGTGTCTACAGCAATATCAGATTTGAAAGGTAGCACCAAATGTGAACATGTTTTTGTTTTCCTCTTCAGTTTGATATTTGGAGGAAACCTGTTGACTTGCATTGCAGGTATTAATGATTATTATTTTTATGTTTATAGAAAATCATTCCTTGGCAAGAAAGATCTTGATGAACATTGAAAACAATGTCCCTGGTCTGGCCATGGTTTGCATGCGGAGGATCAGTCTGGAGCGTCGCTGTGGCAATCATGAAGCGGGAGAGGAACTGTTCAAGAAGTACATCGAGACTGCTGTCAGCCACAAGTCAAGGACTTTCTTCTGTATCAAATACGCTAGATACTTACAAAAGGTGATCTCCGACACTTTGCTTGACATAGTGTCTTTATAGTTTGCATGTTCTGAGTCCTTGTACATGATCCTAAATGGAAATAATTTCTGCCATGCTCACTTTTCATAGATAAAAAAAAATTTGGTGCTCTCCACAAAATTATTCAGAACAGTCAGTCGTTTTGAAATAGAAGTTTCACTTCATAGGTCGTGTGACATAATGGTAGACACTTTGTGAAGCCAATGGTATTCTAATACGAATTATTAATATATATCCTTATTTTTATTTTTCCCTAATCATTTGCATCTTAAATGCATTGTATAGTTCCATGGTATTGTTTATATATTTTCGCCAATATTTAGTTCAGTAGGTTCTGCCATTGGATCGCGTAATTCAAAAGCAAGACTTCTGCATATGTAATTAAATGGTACGAAATGGAATGGCCTCTCTTATATTGGAGAAAGTGCTTATGATGTTAGTTAATGTTAAGGTTTTTCAGAGATAGGAGGTGGCATTATATTGAAAAATTGAAGATAAAGGTGTTTATTAAAAGTAAAACTTTCAGTTGAAAACTAGAAGATCTATGCAAGAATTTGTCCCCATCTTATGCGTGTTTCCTTTGAGGATTTAAAAAGATCACATCGAGTGTCAGACTCAAAGATAGACCCAACTGTAAATGACAATTTTTTTCACGTCTTTTGCTTTGTTTGAAATAAAAGTGTTTTTGTGTATTTATCAGGAGAGAAGTTATTTATATTTTTTGGATTTCTTTCATCTTTACTTAGGTCATGGGGGAAACCGACAAAGCAAGAAAAGTTCTGAATGACGCACTGGAAATAGACAATGTGAGTATTTTAGAATGTCTTATTTTGCCTCATTAGCACAATTGGCATTCATGTAGAACTTTGGTATGAGTGATACTGTGTTTCTTTTCATCAGGAAATTCTTGAGGTTATTGTTGGGTAACCGCTGAACTCTGGCAGGTGTGTACTGAAGCAGAAAAAGATGCTGGATCAAAACAGCCTGTCTCAGAAATAGTGTAAATTGATTTGACGGGGCACAGAATATATCTACAATCAAATTTACCATCTGTACTCTCATTTGCACCACTAAAAAAATTTCACATTTCAGACGAACGAGAAAGTTTTCCTACAGCTGCTTGATGTGGAGTACCAGTCTCAACCTATCGTTGAGGAAAGAGTCATGGAGACCTTCAACAGACTGCTCACCAGTGAGGTCTCATTAGAGTTCAAGGTGAAAGTCTCCCAGCGCCGCATGGAGTTTTTGGAAGACTTTGGAACATGCATTCAAAAGTAAGTAGGCTACTGTTTGAGCTCACTGGTGTACAATACAAGGGATTTCAGTGTAAATGAAAAGTTACCTAGATGATCGATTCTAAATTGACTGATGAATTAAGACAAGCACTGTGTAAAAGAATTCTAATCATTCTTCTCATACTGCCTCTCAGATATCTTCTTTAATGCTAATGTTTGTTAATGTGCCTTCAAGCTGTCATAAAGCCCGTCTCCGAGAGGTTCTTGGTCTGTCTTGTATTGGACTTGTTTCTAACAGATGTTCTGTGGTTATGCAGCATGGGCATGTGTCTGACTGTCCAGTTCTTGGCTTCCTGTTCATACATGCATTCAGCCTGTTGTGATTCGTACATTGTGTGTTGTATGATTTGATTGAGTATTGTCTTGGGGTACTTGGAGTCTCTATCGTCCAGAAAGTTGTTTTCAAAAAGTGATCTCTGGGGCTTTTCAGTGCATGGGTAATTACTTGTACAAGTTGTAAGGTAGATAGGACACCTACAGTGGGCGGATAATGAAACAGACCAGGGTCATTTTCTTGCGTTGTGTTGATAATATAATTTCCCCTGACATCACACGCTATTTTTTAGTGACACTTGGAGGGTTAACAATGTGTTTTATGCAATGAATGAATAATTTTTTTTCATCGACTGTCCTCAGAATATCTTTTGCATATGATGAACATCAAAAACTAGTCAAGGAGGCCAGCAGTAAAAAGAAGAGACCAGAACGGGAACAAGCGTGAGTTTTGCGTATAAAAAAAAATATTTACTTTACGTGATTTTTCCCATCCAGCGGCCGTCTGAGTTCTAGTTCTTCGGTCTTTCGATATGGGAAAGAATTTACAGGTTTTTATCAGCTGTGATTTGTCGTTGTACAGAGTATTTCTGATATCTGGGGAAGCAGGTTGGTAGATAATACGCTGGTCGTTAAGTGCAGGGCAGGTAAAGAGGTGGTGCTTTAAAGCTTCCCCACTTTCTAACCATCTTTGGTGTTTGACTATTTGGGAGTGCTTAGTGTTTGAATTTGCCTTTTTGTGCTCACATGAAGAAAAATCATCAGCAGATATATAGTATAAAGGTTCTACCTCAGTGTATTGGACTAACTTGAATATTTTTTTTGTGGAACAAATTAAATATTAGTCTGTATAAATCAATATTGGTTTATAACAATTGCACAGTTGTTGACGCACTGAATATAAGTTCCTTTGTCCATTGCCCTATATATTTTACCATTCCCGTGCTACATGGTAAACAAAATGTTAATCAGATTTCTCGTGATCTCTTTCCTAGCAGCCACTTTATTGTCGAAGATCTTTTTGTCACCTCCTTCATTATGGCCTAAATTGTGTTTATTAGGTGGACAAACTTTATCTATTTTTATTTTTCAAACTATTTCAAGGTTAGTTCAATGCTGTCCTTTTTCAAAGTCGTGAGGTCCCTTTGCAGTTTTAATTTTTGCATTATATGAAGACATAGTCTGCATACAGGGATGATAATATATTATTTATTACGAAAAGCTTGTGTGTCTCTAAAGAAGCTTTTTTATAAAGAAAGGGCTTTTCACGGGCTCTTAATTCTTAGAAAGCACTGTATTTTCTTTCTAGTAGGCCTACAGTATTTTTTATTTTTCATCGAAATGCAATATGTGAAAATTTTCTTTATCAATGCTTAACACTTTTCAGTCACACAGCCAGCAGTACAAAATACCCCATCTGGTCACCCAGCCAGGAGAGTGATTGCTACTGATTTTTTGTGCCTGGCGCACCAGAACGGATAATTTTCACCGGCGATGCACCAAGTGACAGCAAAGTGTAAACATAAATCGCAGGTGCCTCTGCAAATATATTACCAATGGTTAGTTCAGATGTGGAGGGAGGAGGATTTTATTATATGAAATTTTCGTGACATAGTTAACCGCCTCCCATTTGATTGCTTACAGACCCGAGGAACCACCAGACAAAAGAATGAAAATTGAGCCCCCAGTGAACCACAATGTCCCACCCAGTGTTGAGCCCGTGCCAGCCCCACCGCCCATGCCCCCTATGGGCCCTCCACCTCCGCCCGATGCTGGCTACGCGTACAACCCATGGGGTGGTGGAGGATATCCTATGGTGAGTTGTAAGCTACAATCTCAATGTATTTTGTCTCACCTATACGAAAATTGCCTAGTCATTTTTGGCCGGTTTGGAGTTTTTGGCTCTGAAATGGAGAGGAGAGGAAGCTTGGTAGTGTTTACTTGGACAAAAGAATAATCCAAATTTAAAAATTGATTGAATTGACCGTACCAAAATTCATGCGTTTCACAGAGTCAATTGTTCGAAAGAAACGGTTGTTTTTTTCTTCATTTTCTCAAAATGGCTAAAATGACTTGGGCATTTATCTTACGAGCGTGATGATATAGAACTTCAGGTGACCTCAGATGTTACACACTAGGTCTTGTGGTTGAAAATGTGGAGTCCTACTTTACTTTTGTCTGTAGTCCTGTGCCTGGTGCTTCACACTGTCTAGTAAAATAGCAACATGGGGTTTTCAAAATCAAAAGTACATATTTATCGATATATGACTTTGAAGCAGTCCTTTGCTGGAGAGGCAAGTGGAATGCAGTCTCCACCTTCTCCTTTTTTAACTGAAATTTTATATTGTAAATATGTTTCACATTTTACTTCCCCTTTGACAATTTAGATCATTCCAGAGGCGGGCTGCTTTGATCAGTTATGTTGGTGCCTTAGCGCACAGAGTGGAATACAGCATTTCTGACAAAAATACTCAAAAAAATTAAATCACTTCACTATGTGGAAATACTCAATAAAAGAATTTCCCCACCTGGAAATACTCAAGAAAACCCACTCGGAAGTCAGACACACACCCTCTGCATGCAATAGTGAAAAGTCTGACCGTTGCTTTTTTTAAAGAGACCAGAAGCAGTTGCCATCATGCTAGTTATCCAGAGTTACTTTTATTTTTGAATTTGAAAGGACAGTAAAGTAGAAAGACTTGAATGGAGAGAGAGTTCCTGCTAGGTTATTAAGTAGTAGTTGGTGGTGATTTTCTCAGAATTTGTACTGTGTACTACAAAAGCTTGCGAAATTATGTCGTTAATTATTTTCTCTTTTGGTGAATCATTTAGGAGATGTTTATATACTATAGTATATATGCCAAGACGCAGTGAAATCAGGCGCTCGTCAATTTTTGGGTATATGGAGTTGTTGGTATCATCCTAAAGCTTGCTTATTTGTTTTGGTTTCGGTGAAAAAAATCAAGGTATTTCAGACTGAAGGAGGTGGGAGTCACCTGGTGTCTGAGGTAAAATTAGCTAGAACAAAGCTTGAGAGTCCTAGGAAACTGCTGATTTTCATTTTTTATGCCTTTAATCATTGTTTCAGTAAAATCTACACAGCCTTATGTTTTTCAATGGACATAAAAGGTTTTGAGCCAAAAAAATAACAATTCTATGAAGTATGCTAAAGGGCAAGAAAAATGCCGTTTTCTTCGAATTAATTATTTTGATGAGCGCCCAATTTCACCATGATGCCTCACGTAGGTATCTTTTTCGGTGAAAAAAAAAATATTCCTATAAAAATCCGTGTGACTCTTCATTAATTCGGTACCGTATCACTTTTCTTTTCAGGCTGGTGGATATCCAGGCTATCATTATCCCTCTTATCCATCCCAATATGGATACTATGGATATTAGAAAGGACCCTGAATGTGCATGCCCCTGTGTTTACACCTTCTCATGGAGTAGCAAGAACTGTATGAAATCAAAATATTGAAGGCCAAATGTTTTGTGTCTGAAAAACATCAGTGGCTTTTTGTTTTAATTGGAAAAGGGTGCTACTGCTACTAGCGAGAATGATGATATGTGAGAGTATTGATGCAAGCTCAAAATGAATGATTTTATGCGTTCCCTGTTGACTGACATTGCTTTGTTATGAAGATATATGAGCTTTCGAATGTCTGACTCTGTTTTTAAATGATTTTCAAGCGTTCTTTTAGTTTTAATAAATTTGATGATATTGAACTTTTCTCGAGTTCCCTTTTTTTGTTTTTTCCATATCTATCCTGCCCGTACCCTAGTGTTGTGGGCTATGTACACTGGTTTCTCTTTTGAAATGCAGTGGCTGTTTTTGTGAATCTTGACACCCTCAAAGGGAATGAAGACAAAATAAAATGGTGAATGATGGGCATTTGACAGTAGGGGGAAGTAGACAAGAGCTGGGAAAGGTAGGCCTACCGTTGAGAAAAAAAATAGGGACATGAAAGTCCTTCCAATACCCTCTTCAAACCCTAAATTTAGAAAAGAGTTAACCATCGATTCCTGTACAGTTTGTAGGTTTTTTTACTGTCCTAACTGAAGAGGTTGTTCACCTATTCTGGTAATAATAGCCCCTGTCCACGTAGATTTATGCAAGAAAAATTCTGAAATTATCTAAACTGAGCCCAAAATTGTGAAATTATGCGATTCTGTTAATTCTAACAAAGAATGTTAAAGGAAAATGATCAGAAATTATGCAAAAAATAATCAAATTTTGCTAAATTATGCGGGGACACTAGCTCCAAGAGATTTACAGAACTGAATGTTGAAAGGGGGCATGAGAACTCTTTTTCTATTTTGGATAAATATTTGAATGGTGAGAAAAGGACACATCTACTACAGTTTAGTGACTGCTTGTTTAACCAGAATGAGTAGGTCTCCTGGAATGTAATAAATGGAAGATGAGCGTCACCACAAACCCTTCTTTCTATTGCAGACCAAGCACCTTCTTTCTATTCAGTCGTGTCTATTTGAACTATTTCTCTATGATCTCACTTTTGTTATGGCACGGTACCAATTTTTTTCCCATGACAACTATCTGCTTTCTCTCAAACTGAGTATTCAATCCTAGTTGAAGAACTGAAGTCTGCTTTTTGAGACTTGCTATATATTTAACAAAAGAAATAGTTTTGTCTGTTTAGTAAGAAAAATGCCTCTTTCTTTAACCCTATCCGTACGCCCTGGGGTCATTTTGTACCCCCGGGATTGTATTCTTCACATATACTTCTAGTACGAAGATCTCTTCGAAACTTCCAGTATTTCTCAAAAAATCGTTTTGACAGACTGCTATGCAAAGTGTACGGATCGGATTAATGAGTAAATTGCCTCTTTGGAAAGTGGTGGCACAACAAAGTTCCCCACTTCGGATGGATACGATAGTAAAACACGATGTACGGCTAGGGTTAAACTAAAACAGTCTGAGAAGAGCTTACATGTTTTCAGGTGAAAAACTTTGACTGATTCTTTTTGCAAATCAGGATATGAGCTGACTTGGAGCACTTTATATTCATTATTGAATGTGAATAACAAGGACTGTAAATGTCTTTTGTTCTCATTTTAATACTTTATTCAAGTAAGTATACAGCCAATTCAAAAAAAGTAATCACAGAAGAGACTTAATACATATCATTCAAACTTACATAAAAGTGTATAGCGAAATGAAATGAAAACATGCCAGTAAAATATGTCAAGCATACGGTACAATTCACACTCATGCACCCTGCAAAGCTGAAGGTTCACTCATACTCATACTGTTTGTGCAATAGCTCTAAATTGAAAACTGTTTAGCATGCGCATAGCGAAATTGGTGGGGCACCGAAATCTTTTCATTATGTATGAAATTCCGGACCTGAAATTTGGTTCGCTATTTCAGTGCTCGTTATGTGCATGCTGGACTGTATACAGAGAAAGGGTCGCCGACTTGTAGTACGCCTGATAAAAATATGGTTGGACTTGAAGCATTTGGAACCAAAATTTTCTTAATTATTTATAACTAATAAGTCAATCAATCCATCTAAAACTAAAAGAAAGGTTGTTCTTGTGCTGGTGTCAGAAAACATGTCAGCCATAAACCCCTAAGTGCTTGGAACTACCGGGAGTGAAGCAAATCCCACATTCTGCCATCCTGTGCATGAAATTGCAGCTCTGCCAGGGAGAAAAAGAAATCTATATCAGAGGAAAAAGACATCTATATAAGGACATGGCGTGATAATTGTGCAATGAGGAATGCCAGTGATCAGCCACACGTGGAGGGTGGCCAATGTGAGAGGGCTGTACTGTAATAATGACGATCGTTTCCTGCCATCGCTCAGCAAAGGAAAACTTCACACCTCAGGGTGAGCTCAGCTCAATGACACAAAACCTATCACTGGAGAGCAGCTGATGCAACCTGTTCACATCAATCAAAGAAATTCAACAGAATACTTGATCTTCATTACTTCCCTTTGGAATTTACTTAATAGTATCAATAATAGCATATGAGCACGCTTGTCTTGTCACCCAAGGTACGTGCTAATAGCCGGAGACCACTGCATAATTAAGGGCAATGTATTTTGTTCATATTTAATATTTACACAGATGGAATTGATATTTACAAACAAGGTCACTAATTTAATTAAATGAAATGACATTTTTTTTTAATCTCACTGCTGAAATACCAGTCAATGCATTTTTGAAAGATGAGTTATGTATCCTTTTCAAAAACTTGTCTGACAATTGAAAACAATGGCATACAGATCATTGCACAAAGTCCTGAAACTGATATTTATTTGTTTAAACAATGAAACGACACATCAATAAATTATAAAACACAAGACGCACATCTTTGGACCAGGCTGCCACAGTGTAGGTTACTTTTCTTCAGAGCGAGGGATTATGCCAACACGTTGATGGTGCCAGGCACAGATGGGCCCATCTCCCAGAAAGCCTTTGTCACAGAAGAAGCTTTATCGTGAACTTCTAGTCCATGTTTCATTTCTATTCTTTGAATTATTTACGCCATTTATTTTATTGAGACGAAGCATTCGATCTTGCTTTAAATGCATTATAAAATAATCAGGTTTTTGACAATTTTTGAGGAAACCCATTTGTGCTGGCCATGGTCCAAATGTCTTGCCCACAGACACGCTCAGTTATCACTCATCTAACAGACACCCTCGGTCAAATCACAGACATTAATTTATCACTCATCTCACAGACACTCATTTATCACTCATCTCACAGACATTAATTTATCACTCATCTCATAGACATTCATTTATCACTCATCTCACAGACACTCATTTATCACTCATCTCACAGACACTCATTTATCGCTCATCTCACAGACACTCATTCATCACTCATTTCACAGACACCCTCAGCTACTCAAAATGACTATATTTTCTGTAAAATGAGGTCAGGCACCACTGGACCACCAGAATCTCTAAAGCTGTATCACTTTTGTCATAGTCATACCATACCATATCGGCTCTGTCTGAACAGAATGGAAATAAGAATAAGAGATTGGTAGTGCTTGAGAGGCTAGCAGGCTGCCACACTTTATGTACCCTTGGGGAATGGAATGAAGACTTGAAAGAGTAGGCCAGAAAAGAATGTATTTTGATATTTTGTAGGCCTGCATTTATACAGAAATTTTACCATGTAAGATGGTAAGGATGCAATAAAGAAGTTTCGTTTTTTCATTTGTTAATTCTGGACAAAATTGGGATGAAAAACTATTTTTAAGAAACAAAAGTAATTTAGAACATTCCAAACTTTCTGAATTTCCTGGAAAGTTGCATAATCGCAATACTTTTATCACCAAAGTGACTGAATAAAATCAGCGGGTCTCTGCTGATTGGGTTTTCAAAAATTATGCTATTGCTCAGTCAGAGTCTGATTCAAAACAAGTAAGCCCTACTGGAAGTTGTGTCAGTCTAAGACATTTTCTCTCAAAGACTAGGACTTTTTCTCCAATCAACCCCTAGGGCAGAAACATCATCTTGATTTTCTTTCATCACTGACTAGGTTTCCTTTCATGACGATTCCCTCATCCGTCAGGGAATTCTAACGATCTTTGTTTAAGACCATATCCACTGACTTGGGGTGAATGGGGGGGAGAGGAAGATGGTCCATAACAACCATAGCCAACAGTTGATCAAGCAGCTTGTGAGCTCTTTCCTCTCAGCCCATAAACTTACTTCCCTTCCCCCTTATGCTGATACCTGTAATATCTGTGGGCATCAAGGGGAGATATAAAGTCAATTCAATATGAACAAGATAAATTGTTTCTCGGGGTCAGACTCCTTGAAGAGAGCTGGTCCTGTAAGGAAATATGAGGTGTGGGTCTGTGAAGCGAACAGTGACGATGTAGAACAGTGTGGGGAACGGTACCAGGGCGATGAGCGGAGCGTGGAACGACGGCTGACCCAGCTGTGTGATGGCCACAATCCCATAGGCATGAACCACCCAGTGGCCTAGCAGGATGGTCAGGCTGCGGATGTTGGTGAAACTGTGTCGCAACAGCTCTTTCATCCGCTGAAAAAGAAAAAAAAGGAGACAGAACGTTTGAGTTAAAAGAGAAACACATCAAATCAAAGTGTGGTCATTCTTTGAAAAATGAAAAAAAGATGAAAATATGATTAAGCATTGATGTAACACAGGCATGCCTAAATACAATCAGTTTCCATCTCAGCAATCCAAACTGTAACAGACTGGCAGATTGACTGCGAGTGTTTTTACACTGACATCAACACAAGTTAGATAAACAGTACGTGATGGATCGCTTCAACCCTGCATTCTGAGCCAATCTGGACAGAATACAGTTAGTAGCTATATTCCAGCAGATAGATGAACACTCCATATAACATCTTCCCTATGGAGGAATCAAACCAAGGTTTTTAAGCAACATGTGAAAAGCCTAACCATTACATCCCAAATGCTGGTCTGGACATACTAGCATGCCTTGGAAACGAAAGGGAAGATAGTCCATTCTGGCCCCGCGAAAAATTGCATTTTTCAAATAGAAAAATTGCGAAAAATTGCAAGGTAAACTGCCTAAAAATTGCAAAAAATTGCAACCTTCCAATCCCAGGTGCATTAGTACGGGCTTAACAATTTTAGTTTAAAAAACCTGACAATTTGAGTACCGGTAGCATAAAAGCAGCACAGTCTTTTAAAAAATCAAGACAAACAATGCAAATTCATCAAATGTTATTAACAACATTTACTAGTAACAACACACGAGTACGTTAACAATAAAGTTATCGACCATGATGATAACGCGCAACTCAAAATAACGGAACCCTCGGTTTTGGTAATAACTTTTAAATGAAGGCATAAAATTTGACCAAATTTAGTACTTACTGGGTACTTGGTTCATGCAAAAATCTAGAAGTGTATGAGGTTTAGTCTATAAAAAAAAAAAAAATTGACGAGAGATTTTCGAAGCGACCTCTAAATACAAAATAAGCTTATGCTCCTATCAAACCAGATCCTGTTCTATTTTTCTCTTGAAACCTTTGATACACCGGTAATCTGTATTTAGAACTATTTCAGATATTTTCTGTTTTAAAACCGCCATGGTATTGTTTTAACACTAAGTCAAATCGTAAAATACAGCACATTTTTTTCCCATTTATAAACAATAGTAATACATGTTTACTAATGTAGATCTAGATCATTTCTATAGCACTAGCACCCACTCCGGTGTGAACGCAGCTGAAGGCGTTTTACATAACGGGGTGTTTACGTACACGGTACGCGGACACCTAGCCTCAGTGTCTACGTACACGGTAACCGGCAACCCGGCACGTAGTCTCAGTGTCACGTACACGGTAACCGGGCAGTTAAGAATTTCAAGTTCAGTTTTTGTCATCTGGTGTTGCCTTCAACTCCAGCCCTTCCCCGACTGCATATTAAAAAAAAAAAAAATAATTCTCCCATTCCGGAGCCCTATACTTCGTAGCGCACAGACTTTGAATGAACTTTGATGACCCCAACCGGTACTCACAATGTGAAGCGAAAGCACAGGTTCACTGACCGGTAACGATGGCGAGCCCGACAAGACGCGTGTATAACTTTCTTTTTCTATTTCAACAAGTGACAGCACAGGACAAATATTGGTTAGTTTTCATTCCGGTGGGTTACCGTGTACGTAGATAGTGAGACAAGGTGCACGGTTACCGTGTATGTAGACACATGCATCATGTACGAACAATATTAACGCTCGCGCACTCATACGCACACACACTCACGTACACCTCACACATCTACTTTCATATCACACGCGTACGCTTACACACATTAGATAAAGGCCTAGTTCTCGGCCTAGCTTATGTCTCAGTTCGTCTTGTACATGATGCATTCCGGCCTGAATTTTTGGTTATAGCTTTTAGAGTACGCTCAGTAGGCTTGAGCTGGGCCGATATCATGATTTATGTAGGCCTGTCGGCTCTGTATTCGCACCATTCCGTATGAACAATTCTGATAAAATTAAAGCGTTGATGTATTTTTACCTAAAATTGCAAGAAATTGCAAAAATTGCGGGTTTATTGCGGAACTCGACGAAAAACGGCCGCAAGACTGCGATTTCTTGGAGGGCCAGTCCATTCGCCAAGAGACCTAAGAGGTCAACTACAACAAGTAGGTTTGGGGTTTTAAAAAAATTTACATTGATGATTATGTAGCACTAGGGGAAAAAGGCTCATAAATGAAAAAAAACCCTGAAAACACAAAGAAGAGCTGCTGTTAGTTTTACCCTTCAAATACAGGCCAAATAAATAATTTTAAAACAAAGTCTTTCCGAAAACCTTTCCACCAGTCCTTCCAAGGAACAATTAAAGTAAAGAAGGAAATAGTGTAACTGACAAACTACTTGATATCTTCATCAATCAGTTCTTCTTGAAAAAGAAAGGAAACAGACGAACAGAAACATTTCAGACAATAAGTGTAGAGGTGTTAGTAAGTAATGATGTCAATGAGGTAAAAGCGTTAATGAGGCTAAACAAACATATGACTTTCTTTGAACATTGAAAATTAGATCGAGTATTTTTAAAACTATACAATGCAAAAAACACTTGAGGTTTCTTTAATAAAGTGCCCCAAGCAGTCTTACCAATACATGCACTTTAGCGTCTAAGATTATTATATACTTTAACTTTGAGTTCATGAGGTGTTAATTTAGTTTAAGTTAGAGTATTACGGCAATTGCAACACAATAAGGTCAAACAAGACGTGCTGAGGATTAGAGGTGTTATCAGAATGTAACACAAAGACAAAAAAAGAAGGAGGAGAGAAAAGGATGATAGATGTTTCACTGGAAAGGAGGAGCAAACCACACCAAAACACTCGTCAACCACTCATTCAAGAGGTGTTCTGCCTTATTTTTGTTTTGTTTTTTGTTGAGAAATATGAGATTGAGAGGATCTCTCTAAGTCTACACACATAAAGAAAATCTTACCTGGTCCTCCTCTGTGGCCAGATGGCATGCGCTCGTAATGACAGACACCACCACAGTAATGTACGGGTACGCATAGTCTGGGGGACAGAGCGAGAACAAAAATATCAGTAATAGCACATAAAGAGAAAAGAAACACTTGGTAAAAACAACGTTTTCTTCTTGCTAAAAAATTATAAAAACTTATCCTATTCTGGAGAAATCAAAGACCCTTTTATATCTGCAGCCTGCCAATCAAAAACCAAGTTTACATACAATGAACTGCTCGAGGAAAAAGCATTGGTACTCACATATTATGCCTCCAAATATTGAATGAATGAAAATCAGAATGGGCAGGAAATACAGAGCAGCATAAATAGATCTTGACCCTTGACATCCTGTCAGTTTGTATGCGAACAGAGGTCGAAGCAGCATCATAAACACCAGGGAGAGCGTGTAGTAAATCAGCACCATGGTATAGCTGGGGACAAGAAAAGAAATACATCATAAGACTATTGACAGTCAGCTAAGATAAATTAGAGAAACATTTTGCTAGCTGCTGAGAACCACAGAAGCACTGGGTCATCAATGCACTAGAAAGTCTACTTGCTCCAACAAAGCTATTATACATCCTTAATTGACAATTGTTCCTCTTACTCCACTTGAATGAACATCTTGTTTTAATTAATTTATTTCAGTTGCTCGTTCCTGAATACTTCATTGTTTTTACACAAAGAAAAGGGGAAAAAATAGAAAGGGTGGCTTATTAAATCATTATACTATTCAAAGGCAAAAAGAAGTTAGCTCCAGTTTAGATTCATTTTGAAGATTTGAAGTTAAAACTTTTCTGCACGCTAACAACACTTCAATAAATTCCACATTAGCAGCTCTTCTTAGTAGAAGGACTCAGTCACACAAGTGCAGGGAACACGGCACAACAAAGGCTAGGTTCACTCACAGTGGGTATACCATCTCTTGCGTGCAGTATATGGTGTTGGAGTAATCTGGTGTGGGGTTGAAGAACATCGTGTACCAATCGCTGAATTGATGTACGGAGCAGGATCGAATGTTCATGGTACCTGCAGGTTCTGACAGGAATAAGGTCAGCCATGCAGCAAACACTGTCTCTATGAACGCAGATAGATGAAGCAAAAGCACAGTTCTGAAAAAGAAACAAGAAAATACTTTAAAAAATCATTTGTGCTGTACTTTTAAACATAATACAACACACGGAATGGTTGTCTCACTAGTCTCAGAGACAGAGCACAAGGCCCTTGATCAAACAACAAGCTTGCTGCAGGTTACTCGTAGTAAAATTCTCCTGAACACAAGACATACGTTCTACGACTAGCTCAGAAAACAAAACAATCCCCAAAAATAAATTTTATGAATAGGCTACTGTAACCTGTATTGTAAAATGATACTTTTTATTAACTCCACAAACAAAAATTTGGTAGTTTTTATTCATTTGCAAGTCCAACTTTTGCCACTCAAAATAAGAATGACTTTTTATTTCTAAGTTCAAGCACATCTAGACCCAAAAGAAATGGAGTACATTTAAATAAATACTGACAATTGAGCCGAAAATATCACCAACTGAGTTTGCAGATTCTATTACGAGATATGAAAATTGGCATAAACACCATGCACTTTATTGTGTGGACCATCTTATTTCCCTAAAATTGTCTCTTGAGTCAAATGCAAACTTTACATGGAATGAAAATCTTTCAGAACCCCCCCAGGAGGAGCAGACAACAGTGACTTCTAGCCACCTTCCTAAGATGGCTATTAAACTAGCACCACCGATTACAACACAAAGTTTAAAGATTTTACCTTTTAGGAGGGGAAAGTAAATCAATGAACCCCCAGTGAAGGACCAGTGACACCATCCCCATGAAGCCAAGGTAAAGCCAGTCATAGAACTGAGGACTACTCTCACATCTCTGACAAACTGACTCAGAGTCAGGGGAATATCCTCTTGGGCAAGCCTGAAATAAGTTTCAACATCGTTTTGAGATTGCACATAAATTGTAACAAACTATTGCATTTGATAATGTGAAAAAAGAATGAGCACAAAATTGTGACACGTGGATATAGCACAAACACAAGACTTTAGTTAAATTGAAATAAGGCTATCAGGGCAAACAAATATGTTGACAAAAATATATTAGTGAGAAATCATAATACAAAAAAAAGTCTCTTGCATAGTAGGAAAAAAAATGTCTTTCTTTCAGCACGATAACGATGTATTAGGCCATTCCAGCTAATTGGAAAGAGCAGCCCTTTAAATATCACCAAAATAAATTTAAAAAAAAAGAAATACATCCAAGTACTTTCATTGATGTCTGTTGGGAAATGTATTGTACTGTACAACAATGGCAAGGCCAATACATTATATAGAAATTTGTTCAACGTCACGTAATACATATTATCACACAAACAAAGACAGGTTTACAATTTATATGCTGTTGTTGAATGCTTCTGCATGTTGTGGCACCCTGTTTAAGAGTTATCGTGTCCTGCTCAAGGACACACTCCAGTGACAACTTATAGCTTTAGACGATACACCTGACATTGTGTGCCAAAGCTCACTAACCACTCGGCTACTGGAGCAAATGTAAAATAACAAGACAGTGCTTACACCACATTCTTTTTCCTTGGACATCCGACCACAATATCTGCCAGGGCAAGTCGACTCAGCTGAAAAGATAGATATCAAGTCGCAATGTTAATCATTTACAGGATTTGTTCACATGAAGGAAAAGTCAATGACCTAAAACAAATCTGACTAGCTGTTTTGCTGAAGGCAAATACTTTAACTCTTTCCGGATGCAGTTTTTAGGGGGTCTAGACGTAATTAACTTGTCCTTCGATTTGGCTACACAAGTGATGTACAAAATAACTTCATATATACATAGCCATCACTCAAAACGTAACATCATCAAATTGAAGGAAATTGAATCAGGGATACATTCCAAGTTCCAACATGAAACAAGGATTAATTTAGATAAAGTATGCATAACAAGGGTTAGAAATGGCAATGGTGATGAGAAAAATAAATTTTCACTGAAAAAATTACACTCACCAAGTAAGTGAAAACAAATCATCATCTTAATCCATATATTTCTTAAACCGCAACTTTTTATTTGAAAGCAATATTCCAATTTTTGTTTGAAGTTATTATGATATTTATACTGAGTTTGGTTAAATCGTTTTGTTCCTAAAAATACCTTTAAAAAAAAAATACCACAGCTTTACAAAAACCGAACCTGGCAATAGGCCAGACCCCTGCATGGTTCTTACTGTTAATTTCAGTCGCAGACTTTTAGCATACCTTTGTAATCTTTTAAATTGAAAAGACTTAATGTAGCATGACACATTTATGGGCTACAAAAAAATAAATCAAAATAAAACGACAGATAAAGATGAAGATTTTAAAAAGTGCACACTTTCAGTATGCAGCTCTGTTACAGTACACAACATGAATTCTCAAAGTACCTTCCATAAATGGATACCCAACCACGGGTCTCCCTGTCGCACCACATTCTGTCCACAAGGCACCCGAAGCCACCAGAAGAACAAAAAGTCCAGTCCTCTTCTCCATCATGTTAGGTATCTGAGGAAAATAGATGCAGCAAGAATTCAGACAAAAAAGTCAACTGAAAAAAATGCTAACCAACTACAGAAAGAATCTATAATTCCAAAATCGGAGTCCCTCCCCAACCATAACACTCAGTTTGAAGTAGTCAGTGGATAAACACGAATTAAATTATCTTTTTTATCAACATGGGGCCCATAGGCCATAGTCATACACTTACACTTGGATTATCTGCCTGGGTCTGGGACGTAGGATGAACTGTTGAACAGTGTGTGAATGTCTGTTGACAGAGCTGGACCTATGAACTTCAGGCAAGTTCAGGGCACAATTGTTGCGCTAGACTCTCTAGACGCTAGGTCTAGATTCTACACACATTTCACAATTAAAGTTAAAGGCAAAACTGAAGGACATAGATTCTAATAATGAGAGACAGGCTAGTCAGTTCAGGGAAGGACTTCCGTAACGAGCGACCACCCCAGCCTACGCAATAAAGAAGGGACTTTTGAGTGGGATATGTAAAAGATAGGGTTTTTGTTTTTGTTTTTGTAAAGTGTTTTACGGCGCTCGCAACTGCATAGGTCATATGAGCGCGCGG